GCGGGGGGTTATCGTGCTAGCGGGGCGGCTGCGGCTCCATCCCCCCCTTCGCGCCAACGCCGTTCGCGCGGCGCTTGTGATGACGTTAGTGACGCGACGGGTGAGGGGTTGGCTGAGGAGGGGGCGGGGGCTGGTAGCTGGAGGGCTGGGGCAGAGCAAGTGGCCGTTTGGGCGCCCGGCCTCTCACCTTTCCCGGGGGGTGTTGGGTTTGCGTTCGCCCCGCGTTGTAACAACGGCCTCTTCAGGACTAGCGCCAACGCCGTTCGCGCGGCGCTTGTGATGACGTTAGTGACGCGACGGGTGAGGGGTTGGCTGAGGAGGGGGCGGGGGCTGGTAGCTGGAGGGCTGGGGCAGAGCAAGTGGCCGTTTGGGCGCCCGGCCTCTCACCTTTCCCGGGGGGTGTTGGGTTTGCGTTCGCCCCGCGTTGTAACAACGGCCTCTTCAGGACTAGCGTTGACTTGGGCAAACGCTTTCGTGCGCCAGGACCCGCCATGTCGCCAGCTCGGACGTGGGTCTCTGCCCACGAAAGCCTGTGCCCAGGTCTCCAGAAGCAGCGAGGGCCCTGGGGCGCCCGATGTTAGGGCACAAGCTTTCCTGCGCAAAACCCGCTTCCTCAGGTGAATTGGAGAGTGAATAAATTCATACATAAAGCGGTTGGTCCCTAAGGTGTTTTCATGGACTCCTCGTTGTTTTCGTGGTTACAGACTAACCTAATACATCGCGTTATAAACTGAACTATAGTCTAAAATCATCACCACGTCCAGCAGAGCACAGTGAAATGCCTCAGTCCTGCTCTGAGTCTTGCTGCTCTTCCGGCCTGCCTGCTTACACCTCAGGCCTGATAATGCCTCATGGGCTGTGCTGATGAATCAACTCTGTCTAGAAGAGCTGATTTCAGTGGGAACAGTACTAGGCTTTTCTCCATCTTTGCCTAATTTTACCTTAGTCTTTGAATTTCATTTGTCTGCACCTGTGTCATCTTTGTCCATGCCCTCAGCCCAATTCCATCTGTATATGTATACATTGTAAGATACGGGACCTGGCTCCTCAACATCACTGTTTGAAAAGACTTTAATTAACTAATGCCCAACATGCCAGTATGAGGTAAAGAAGTATGCTTAAACTAAGTTTAGTCTTCAGAAGTACCATGATGGATGTGAGACCAAGAAAAAGTCAACGGCATTGCAATCATAGTCAGTTCTGAGCCAATTAACCAATAGCAATGCTTAAGAGTTTTTCACAATATATTAAGGCCTGAAAGTAGGTCTGATTTGTTTTGTCTGATATTTCTAAAGGTAAAAAATAAGAAACCATGTCAAATCTGGTCTTAGTTTTGTTAGAAGTCTCAGATACGGATTTTGAATTCTCAGCCTTCAAATGAGATCTTGCTCAAAACCCATGTGAGACATTTACCAAAACCAGAAAGTCTTAATAAATATGCTAATTTTTAACATATTTTTGTCTTGTTTTTTCTCAGATTACTGCATTGAATGGACTTTAGAAACAATAACATTTTAAACAGTCCAAATAAAATTAAGTTCCCATCTCAATCAGGTTTCATTTGCTTGACATATCTGAATCAGAAATCTATTTGTCTCTAGTTTCTAGGTCTTCCAGGAAAAACAGGTTAGAATTAACCTGAATTTATCATGTTAAAAACAAGGCAAACTTCCACCTTATTTAAAAGGAAAAAACATCTCAGATGTTCTATATCACACAGAAGCAAAGAAGGGTGCAAGCCCAATTGTTTCTTTTATGGGTGCCACTTCAGGTATCCTGATAATTTGTGCTCATTATGAATTCCCTGTCACTTTTTGCATGAACAGGAAAATCTACCATGATGTCTTGGTCAGATTAAAATATGGCTAATTATGTTTTCCTGCCTTACTTCTACATATAATTTAAAGTGTATATTGTATTTTTCCCTTCCTGTGATGTATATTTGGAAGGTATTGTACAAATAAAAAAGCTGCCAAATTTCATTCTAAAGGTTAAATGCATGTTAATAATGAAGAATCTGTAGACTTACCTTGACTGAGCAGAATGCTCCAATAGTATTAACTGTTTTGAGATCCATTTAAATAAGAGGTGCTATATAAAATAATTAATCCTTTTTTTCTCTCTAGGTCAGAAAGCATAATTTTAATAATCTTTTCCTGAGAATTTGGGGATTAGTTTAGTTTTCCAGGGGATTTCTATGAAGAATTCTATAGTTATAGTCTTCAACCTTGGTGCTTTTTAAAACTGTTTAAGCCCATTGAAATCTGTCTGAGAGTTTTACTGATAAGACAAATTGTGTATTTAAATAAAGAGACTGAGCTGGTAAAACACAGTGAAGTAATTCATTGATTGGAATTTTATTATTGAATTCTGTTTTTTGTATGCATCAAGTTTAAGATGGAGTCTCTGAACTTCTAAAATTAAAATATTTAGGGATAGAAATATGGAGGATGCTTGTTGGATATTGATTTATTTGTCTAATATAATAGAACATATTTTATTTGTAGGGTTGAGCTGAAAAATTATGTGTAGTTTGAAAGCATATACCTTCCACTAATAGAAATTGGCCCAATAACAGGTATTACTTTACCTGCCTTGTAACTTCAACATTAATGATATCACACTACTAGCGTATTTGATTTTTTATTTTGGTTTTGTGTTTTGCCAATGCCTTAATTATATAGGGATTTTTATTCCTTTATGAATGTAATAATAATGTGGAATTTTACTTTTCCATTTTGAATATTAGCATACCTCGTGAATTTGCATTTATTTTAAAGAAAAATAAAGGAAAATGAAAATCAAACTTGCTCTTAGGTAATTTTATACAAATTACCCAGTATGCTATGGTACTGTGATGACTATGCTAAGGAAAATAATCACTTTTAAACATTTCTAATTGTATATTTGTAGATACATAACAATCCTCATTAGACCCTGAGTTGATCCAGAGATGTTCCTACTACCAGAATTAAGGGTAGCTGAAACAGCTGACATTTGATAGAACCACACAAAGTGTTTAAATAATGTTAAAGAATTATAGTAGGTGGTTATCTCTGTTTGTATTTGATAAAGTTGCCTAGAATAACATTAAGCTGATCACTATGTGCTCGTGGACTGGTGACACATTCCTATTTCTCGTAAGTCAGGATTTTAACCCTTTATGAACAACCAGAACTGTGTAAAATCTTGTATGGTTGTGGTTTGAGTCAGGTTATAGACAATAAGACTCGTGTGTATGTGAATTTAATATTTTTCTTATGCCACCAGAATTATAAAAAGGTGTTCATTTGTATTACGAAATACGTTTAGTTGCTGTAAAATGAGGAAGGTGCTTTAAAGAGACATTATACAGTGAAAAATAATATTTTTAAAGTAATTATTAAGCAAATTTTACTTCTAGAATATATAAACTGAAAAAGGTTTAAAAATTTAATTTACTAGTTTGCTTTTTTAATTTTTGGCAAGTCACAGTCTGTTTATTTGTTTGTTTTGTTTGTTTGTTTTCCCCTTAGAGAATAATCACTTTTGAAAATCAGGCTATGTATGCTTCAGCTTCCTCTTCTGTAAAATGGGAATGAGGTAACCCCCTTCTGTTGCAAAAAATGACATAGAATCATTAGTATTTCTCTCTTATTGGGAAATGAAAACAAATATCTCAGTTTCACTTTCATTAATCAAGTTCTGGTCCTTTCACTTTCTTATATTCTAGTATCATGCTGCAGCCTTAGGCGATAAACACTGTTAATTTAAAATATTTACATATCTTTTTACTTTCTAATGCCGGGAGTGCTTTTATCATCTACTAAAGAAACTCGTTATTGTAATCCTGAGCATACAAGGAAATACAACAAAAATGTTTCCTAAAAACTGTTGCAATTAGAATTCCATTTCTTTGTAGTGCTAGAATATTTTTAATCCCATCAATTTTCAGTAATCAGAAGTCCAATATTTTGTAGGTTATTTTTGAACAAGTCCTCGAGGAGTATTCAGCATATTGAGTTTATCTGGAAAATAAGAAATTGGTATCTCTAACATATAAAGTATTGGAATTTGCATTTTGAGACAGAATTAAATTGCCTAGTATTTGTAAATCCACAATCTACTAATGTTCGCACCGCCATCCTGTGTCATGTTTTTTATCCCTTTTTAATACGAGATGTGGATGTTCAAAGAGTGTAAGAATAGGGTCTTGACATATATTACATTATAAAGGACATTACATAAACTGACTTGTCTCATCTGAGTCCTTGATGTTAAGACATCAAGGCAGCTGATGCTAACATAAGGATCACACAGTCTTTACAAGGACTTTGTAACTTAGATATTTTCCCTGTCTATCTTAATTTGAATATTCACAGAATGATTGTATAACATCCCAGATTATCAGATGTTTATTTGATTCAATCACCAATGACAGTTGGTTTGTTTGATTTTTTTTTCTCATTCTTTTCCTGATCAACTGTGGTCTGTTGAAATACAGGCAGTCCCCGACTTACGCGGATCCGACTTATGTCGTATCCGCAGTTACGAATGGGGCTGCCCCGGAGGACATGGACTGCGGGACCTCGCGGTCCTGCCGCCCGTGTACTCCAGGGCTTTCTCCGCGTCTCCCTGGTCTGCAGACCAGGAAGACGCGGAGCAAAGCCACGGAGGGGCTCGGGCAGCAAGGCTTTGCAAAGTCTCGGGGAAGCCGGCAGCGGAGCAGCCCAGGTGCGCCTGGGCTGCCCCGCTGCCCTAGCCCCCCCCCCCCCCCGCAAAGCCTCAGGGGAAGCCGGCAGCAGGACCGCCCAGACG